GTTCTCTCTAGCCACTTCCATCTTCTGTCAGTTCCATCTCTTTTCCCCCTATAGCCACACTATAAGCTCACAAGACCTCAAACAGGTGGGTTTTAAATGCAGCATTCAGAGAGCAAACTGAAGCTGAGTGCAAAATGAATGAAAGGTTCACCGTTTCCACTCCACCCCTGTGTCGTTCTGGTTGTTCCCATTACAGACTGTTACTGCTGCAGGGTCTGTTTACTCACCTGACCTCCTCTCTTCTCTCTCTCTACTCTCTCTCTCTCTCCCTCTCTCTCTTTCTCTCCTCTCTCTCCTCTCTCTCTCTCCTCAGCACACACACACACTCCCTCTAGGCTATCGCACTTCACAGATAAAAGAGGAGGCTTACAATGCAAGTAGCACTACACTTCTTGCAACCTCCCAAATACACTAGTGACTAGTGACATGTACAAGATCGTTGTGTTTTATCTTAGTGGCAGAGCATTTGACAGCAGATCAATCAAAGCACGCAGTAGTATTCAGGAAGTAGGTATTTTCAAATACTTTTGCAATGTTTCCAGAAGCGAGCTATTTTATGTCAGGCATGACTGCTTGGCCAAAAAAAAAAAGCTCAGAAATGACTGCAATGCATCCTGCAGTCTGTTCTCCACTAGATTCTTTACTGTCACCTCCCGCCATCTATCTTCAATTTCAGGAGCAAATCAAGCAGCAGGCTGGTTTGACTGTATAGAGCTGAGAGAGAGCTGGACTGTCAGCTTCCAGCTCATCCTGCAGTACAGCTAGCTCTGGAATCTAGTCAGCTGGGTGTGAGTTATTCCATTCTGTTGACTTCATACTGCAGGTTTTTCATTCTATTAATTTAATGATACCAACATGAGAGTCATTGCATGTGAAATAACGTGAAAGAAAATCTGTATTAGTGCCACTTTTTTTATTGTTGTCAGTCCCACAACTGAGCTGCTCTAAACTACCATAAAGCACATGAAAATTATTTATCCTGGTATTCAAAGCGGTGTTGTCTTTTCACTTACGTAGGCCTAAACAATGCGGTTCATAAAACACATCAAGACAAGTGTAAAAGTGGAAAAGAGCTATAAGTCAACAATGATAGACACAGAGCTACTGCTCAGTCAGTTTGTTGTGTCTGTCGCTCCAGTCTGTAAAGCCAATGGGACTTCTGGCTGTTCCAAGGTCAAAACCGAAAGCTAAGCATGATTGTGCTTTTGCTGCAATTGCTCCTCAACTCAGCAACAGCAGCCGCCTCCTGCAAAATCTGACAGAAGACAAAGTCATTGCACACCTTTAAAAACCATCGTAGTGTACAACCTACTGAGTGACATCATATTGTTTGGTTTATACTTTATGTTCCTAAATATTATTCTCTCTGTTTTTCCTTCTTTTTTATTGTGTTTTTCCTGTAAAGCACAATTTCTACTCTGAAAAGTACAGTTTGGTATGCATTTTGTGATTACTGCTGATCAAAATCTGTAGTGAGAGAAATATGATCATGAATATGATCATTTTTGAAGAGCATGAGGAGAAACTGATATGGTTGTTTCATATTTAACACAGCCTCATTTTTTTGTGTTAGATCTGCTGCTGCTGAGCTCTTGGCTACAGAACAGTGATTTCACTGTTTCCTCTTCTTTACTCATTCATTTTTTATGATGATGTTTAAATTCCATCCTGCTGTTTTTACTTGCTTTAGCTCATTTGCTTAAAAAACTCAGTTGCAGCTTGTTCTGTGTGCATACTCTATCTGACACTTGTTGTTGTGCTGTAGTGCATTTATGTGCTGTGGGAATTTCCACTATAAAGACATGCCTGTTGGTTGACACAGTTAACATCACATTTAAATGTAATTATGACCGTGTTTGCTAATTGCTTTATTTTTCAAGTTTGTCTTTTTCAGAGAGATTGTTGATTTAATGCTGTTTGGCAGACACACATGTGTTTTGGATATCTGGAGACACACTAACATTCACACAGACATTGCAGAGCCTTTCTGTCTTTTATTTTTTTGAATGCTGTCATTTTTCTATATTTTTCTTTTTGGCAAAAAATGCCATGAAAGACCACCTCAATACTTTCTGACTTCTGCCTGTATATTGCTTTTAGGCTTCAGCCCATTGGTTCCTACTGAAGGCATACATCTTTAAAAATGGCTCAAATATATATAGTTTCAGGGCTGACCTTTATAAGGAAATAATTGAAACAGGGGTAAATATTGCATTTGTTTTTTTTTCACCATCAGATTATTACACATTTGCTGTTCCCGTAAAGGGGTTACCATTCACTGACACTGTCAAAAAAGCTTTGTACAGTAGAAATGTTCTACTGTACAAATCATCTCTGACCCTGAAATTTAACTTGTGATGCCCCCGGGGAGAACTAGTACTGTGATTGGTGCGAACTGTCCCATTCGCACACAGCAGGAAGGAGGAAGCTGCTGTTGATGTCGATAGTGATTATAGCAGCAGGTTAAATCTCCCGAGCAGCTGACAGAATGAACTTGAAGCGCTCTGCAGGCTGTAGTCACCTTCAACAGCCAACCTGCTGCCCATAATGCAACCTGACAGGGACGAGCAGCCAAGGAGAGGAGAACAAAGCTTGACGATACACCTACCTTTGTTTGGTCACTACCACTTACTATTCTCCACTGATAATAGAATAAGAAATGAAAGGCTCCATGTTCACACAGTCAGCACACATTTGTTTAAACAAAAACCTGTCTTTGTTCTTAGGGATTTAAGAATTTCCTCAGTAGTTTCTTAGTCCAATGCAGGAATTGCATAATCACATACACCTGCACTACACCATACACTGTGTACAATGATTCATATACATACAGCACTTGACGTAATGCAGAATATAATAAGTCCAAGTTTTTATCTACCCAGACTTGCCCCTCTGTCTGTTTTTAAAATCAAAGGACCATATTTTTGAACATCTTTTGAACTGATGCTTCAACCAGGAGAGTTTCATGTCCATAGCCTTGAAGTGCTCCAACTGTCACAGGAAAATAAAATTTTACTTCTGGATCCCTGGACCTCACCATAATGGAAGGAAAATCCTAAATCTATACAATTTATCGAGCTAATGCAATGTATCATTTAATTAAATCGTTCATAATTCATTCAGACAGGAGTGCCGTTCAATAACAGTCATATCAGCTGTTTATGAGAGTGGGGAAGACTCGTAGGGACCTTTAGGAATATGGATGGGATACAGGAAGGGTTGGATTACAAGACAAAAAACCCAAAACACTAGTTTACAAAGATTTTACAAAAGAAGTCAATATGTTGCTGCTTATCATGTACATTATGGTGTCACGCAAACCAAAAAGTGTGGCTGGCTATAGTATAGACACCTTAAAGCCCATTTAGGAGCTTTTAGTCTCATAACACACCCTTTGTCTGGAGATGAAGTGTTTGTTTTTTTGAAGATTGTTTCTGTGGGCTTTATTTAACAGTGACAGTGAAGAGAGAACCAAACGGTATGCTGGTACCATGCGGTATGTGCTGTAGAGGACTGCACTGTGATTGGGTCCTCCGGGACGCAAATCTCAAGGAAGCTTTTAGATTTTGCTGCAGGCAAGAGGGCAGTCAAAAAGTAAACTGCAAGTCCCAGGATTTAGCTTGCAACCACCAAAAGGGTTGAGACAAAGTCAAAAAAATGAAGTTGAATTGAAGATTTATTCAGGTTTTTATCAAGCAATTGCAAAGGAATGTCTCCATGAATTTGGAGAAATTTCTCAATTGTTACTTGCACAGTAAAATTATGTCTATTCACCTGCAGGAAGAAGAAGAAGACACAAAATCTCTATTGTTCGAGGCTGAATGGTCAAAATGCTTGCGAGGCTAATGTGCTCTAACCATTCAGCTAACACGGTGCTCCAGTCATTCAAGACCTTAGAAAAAGTAGTGCAAAAAACAACCTCTCTACAAGATCTATTCAGTAATGGTTACTATTGTCCTAGGCACCACTACAGAAGGTAACAGTATGAGAGTTTTAAAAATTTTATTTTACATTTTGTCAGTATACCACAGATTCCGTTCATCAGATTGCAAACGTAATTGTATAAAGATAACTATTTTGGAATGCAAAATACAACAAAGAATAAAATATAGAGTAATAAAAGAAATAAATAGAAACAAAAGAAAATGTTGATTTTTATAACCCATGTCATGTTTAACCCCAGTTTTACCAAACATTTGGAAGATACAAGGAAAATGTTACAATTATTTTTTAATGTGCGATCATCTTGCTCTTCTTAGATCCTACGTAAAATGTTACCTACAACTGATAAAAATGATGGATGAAACTATAATAAAAAAGACCCAGTTTGCAAAAAAACAACAATAAAAAAGCAACTTCATGGGTGCATGTTCACCCTAGTTTAGGTAAGGGAAGGCCTTCACTTTGTACTGGCTAGATAAGGTTAACATTTTCAGTAACAGCATATGGTTTGGTGACTGGTTTCACAGGACCAACTGCCCATTTTCTATTTTTAGACTAAGATTACACCAACTGTGTCAAATGCGCTGCTGTGAGACAGGCTAAACCCAGGCGATGTTCACACTGATAAAGTTACTGTACGTCTAAAACAGCATTACTGAAATGCCTTAACAAGAAACAATAGGAAAATATGCACATCACCACTCACATAATCATCATCCATATCATCTCTCTGTCTACTGTCTTACTCCCACAAAGACAGGAAGTTTGATAACCTTCAGTGGGTGTGTATTTACAGTGTTAAAGTACGGAAACAGCCTCTCAGTAAAGGGGTGTGTAAAGGTGTGTATGTGTGTGTCAGTATCTGCATCAGAGAATGACAGCTTTTTTCTGTTCCAGTCCAGTTTGACTCTGATCCTCTGGAACTTCTTTGTTATTGGGAGAACAGTGGGGTGATCTGGATCAGAGTCCGCTGTGTACTCACCATCACAGAACACAATTCTGAATAATCCAGACAGTCTGTCTACGTTATTCAGGACAGACTCCGCTAACACTCCCACTGCCCAGACCGGACTGCTTCCAACCTCAACATCCCAGCTGTGAGTCCCTGAGTTAAAGCCCTCAGAGCCCAGGACAGAGGGGTAGAAATCAATCCTTTCTGGGTTTTTAGGAAGCTTTTGTCCTTCTCCACATCTCACACTGGTCAGA